TGTGTGTGTGTGTGTGTGTGTGTGTGTGTGTGTGTGCAGCCCCACATGGAACCAGGTCAATTAACCAGCACTCTTACTTATCTGTGGGTGATGAGACCTGCAGGCTGCTGCTGTCTCTGCATCCAGGATAAACTAAACAAGAACAAATTCGGTTAAATGTCCCAAACTTAATTATTTTTTATTTTTAAAGTAAAAAATGTCACCTGAAGATATGGTGTGATTGTTATTTAATCAGTTCAATTACAGATCTCACAAATATCACGTTTCTATTATTAATTGTGTGTGCGTGGGAAGGCCTGACAAATAATTATCATGTTCTCATGAGGGCAGTGAATCATGATGCAAAAGTCTCATAGTTAGAAAAACAGTTGACGATGTAAAAGCATCAATGTTTTGGTTGATTAAATATTCAAACCCTTTATGATAAAGGCCTGTAATTGTGGGATATTTAATAAACTAACAATTAAACATTCATGGTGAAGCAGACAACAATGCGATGATTAATAAAATGAAACCATGACTTAAAATCAGTCCTGTAAGTTATAAACAATGGGCTCAGATGCTAAAGGGATCTAACAACAGTTCTCAGTGTGATCCTGCCACACTGTTCATGGGTCATGTCTGCAGCCACTAGAGGCCGCTGTGCTACAACAAACAGGTTGTGTTGTGGTCCAGTGAACTGTGGTGGATCAGGACTCAGACACACAAAGTTATCATCCACGTTATTGTCATTTATACCACTTGTGTATTACCATCAGAATAACACAACATCAGACAGGTCAGTGAGAGGAAACCCCTCAACAAAGTGTGTATTTCAGTTCTACATGAAACCGCAAGGGAATAAAAGAAGAGTTTACAAGAAGTGAAGGTAATGATTATGAGATTATCTATGTCACTTCACCTTCAGGCGTGTCTTCATGCAACAATATGATGCAAAGTCATTAATACCTGGCATTTAATTCACCTCAGTCGAGGTTTCTATGTTACCTGCATCTCCTGTTCTGAGTTTTCTGTTTGTATTCAGTCAGAAAACGAAATCTCTGTGATGCTGAAACACAAGAGGAATCAAACTGTGGATCATTCATGCACTCGCCACTGCTGCCTCCCTGACCTCCGTGTTTAAAGCATCCCACGATCAGATGTGTTGATTCCTGTCAGCCCTTTTCTCGAGCTTCCACCTCCACAACTCAAGCGATGTCAAATTTCTCCACCCCTGACCTCCCCACATCCGTCAGGCCGACAGCTGCCACAGGCCCCTCTGCATTTTCCTGTGACAGTTGTAACTCCCTGTCTTCCATGTGAGGATGTCCATCAACCTTTAGTGTTTTCATGCCCATAAGATGATAACAACAGGAATATTCAGATTTGACAGAAGACGAGTGGAAACACCTTCATCTGGTCAACACTGTGAGAGGATCAGAGTTAATGTGAATATGATGGAGAGAGTTGTGGCTCTTTTCATCACAAACTGTAAATTACAAACATTTAAACATTAACGTGTGTGTGTGTGTGTGTGTGTGTGTGTGTGTGTGTGTGTGTGTGTGTGTGTGTGTGTGTGTGTGTGTGTGTTTGACAAACATCAACAATCGGAATAGCTGCTTGTCTTTTATAAGATTATGGACCATAAAAAACCCCAATAAAAACCATTGACTGTGCAAAAGATGAACGACACAACAAGAAAACCAAAATGTCTCACTTACCCCCTGGTGGCTGGCAGCAATATAGGTCATAAACCCTGCCTCCTCCCTGTTAGTGGTTGGGACATGGATCAAACTCAAAGATGGTTTCTGTCTTTTTAGCTAATTCTTATCACACTGATTTTTGTTCAGCTTTTCATTTTGTTAAGTAAGTTTGGTTTTAATTGATACAGGATGTCTAAGAGCCAATACTGATATTGATATCTATTTACAAAGTCATATAACGATTGGTAGACAGTATTTATTGTATTCATTAGAGATGTGTCTCTAAAGAATTTTGAGTATGATGCAAACTAGGCAGGAAATGAAACCTAAAATATCCTCTTATCTGTCTCATGCTGCGTGACAGAACCAAAAAAGTGACGGGCCGACTCTTCAACAGCTCATAGGAGGTGTGAGCCTTTTAATGCTTGTGTTGGACTCTGTGTATGGAGGCTAGTGGATATGTACGTATGTAAAAGACAATGTGATTAAATACTTTGTTTGATGCTTGAACAACCTTGAGAAAAAACACATTTTCATTCTAACTGCATTTATTGTTTTCAGGATGAGGAATCAAATATCAAAGTCATCACCAAACATTTAAAATCGTTAATCAAATAGATGTGATGGGGAATAATGACCTGTATCAATGCACAGATTTAAGACACACTGTTGAAATCAGGTGGAACAACTCACATGTCTCCACGATGCTTCGACACCTTATCATCCTACTCCATCACATGTCAGAGGGAATTATTGTACTTCTCACACAGGCTGCATTTATCTGACACCTGTTACTGTGCAGTTTAAACCTGTGATCAGGATTTAAACACGATGCACTGACATGTAGATTAAAGGTCCCCTCTAGAGGTATTGACTACAAGTGGAGCCACAGAGCTTTCTACGTGTAGGTCCCTGATCTTGTTTGTACTGTGCACGTGCACGAGGACACATTCCTGCAACTGTTTTCAAGCTCTTCAGCTGATTACCCGTTGATGGTGGTGAAGCACAAAGAAAAGTAGAAATTTGCAGTGAAGACTGATTTTAAACAAGTGTTGATAAACATTTCAGAGACTGTACTTTTAATACTTTTACTTGAGTAGAGAGGTTGAACGTGCTTGTACTTTAACTTGAGTCGTTTTTAACTCAAGTACCTGTACTTGTACTTGAGTAAAGAATGTGCAAACATTTGCCACCTCTGCCTAAAAGTGGAGGAACATGGTTGACTGAGACGAGGTCAGAGAAAACGTCTCACTCTGAGTGACTGGATCTCATATCAACACACTCTTCTGAAAAAGTAACACAATATTTCAGTGGTTAAACACTTTTTAAATGCGAAGAGGCAAATAAATCATCATCTCAATACCAACCTCCTTGATAATAATCATGGTGTTAAACCAATTAGATTTGATGACACTTCTTCACCGCAGCTCCCAGTCGTCAGAACACATCCTTTCGTGATAAAAGAGTGAAGAATGCTGCTCCGAGCCACTGCCCCAGTGTTCACCAGAGCTGTGAAACTCAAACTGTCATTAGTCAAGTCAACACCCGTAATCATCAGCTCTTCTCACTGGGAGCTCTTACGCAGCTGCCGACGTGTTATAACACTGCATGTGCCCCAGGAATTAATGAAGACTTTTCCCACATCTCTTTATTGTATGTGTGGAATGTCTTTATGATTAATGATAATTGTGACCTGGAATGTTTGAATATAACCACAAAGAAAACCTCCGCTCTTGAGGTCAGCAGACCAGTGATAGAAGACTATGTTGCCAAATGTAAAATAGGACACTGTGGATGTTATTAAAACACATCAGTGTTCGATTCTTAGCCAGAGGTTCGTCTTGTGTCAGTGTGACCTCACACCATCTCTGTCCCATCATCTATTTTTCTTATGCTTCATATACATCTTTTTTTGTTTCCATTTGTTTATTAACTCTGTTAATTGGTGACTCTGTGTGTGATTGTGAGCATGACTGGCAGCAATTGGCCTCATCACAGTGCAGAAAGACACCTCTGGTCCAATGGCTGCTTGGAAAGCTGATACTGGCTCCCACAACCTTCCAAAGATAAGAGGTGTAGCTGTTTTTAATTCAAAATACATTCCTCCAATTCTGAAAAAAGGGGTTAAATGTCTTCTCCTGACGGAAACGGTCAAATGTCAAGTCTGAAAGAAAAGATTGTTTTACTCTGGCTGTGGAGTTTGAAAGATGGGTGCTAAAAAAGCACGGAGGAACAAAACAAAACAACAAACGTGTGAAAGGTGGATCTGCACTTTGACATTGGATACGTAAAGTTTTTCTCTTTTAAATCCTGATAAGTCCTTTTCGTGCTTTTGGAAAATCTCTGCGTCTGCTGGTTCTGTTGTTGAGACAAGTTCTCAGGAGAAAAAAGCTCAAGCAGCACATTATTCCACAGTGAAGTTACCATATTTTATTTCTTTTAAGTGCCATTCATGCATATTGGGGAAGGGGGTGGGGTGGGCGGTGGTATAGACAATTCTAATAACACTTGAGTTATTTTACAGCACTAAACGAATACAAAGAGTAGCTGTGTCACCTCATTGGACAACAAAAGTAATAAACCGTGCAATAAACAAAAAAGGACAAATAGGAGGGAAAAAAATACAAGAAATGACAAAGACAAAATCAAAAAAAATAAAACACAAACCAAATATATATTATCAACACTGAAACACTGAATGTAGAACCATAGTACAGGTAAAAGGTAGTGTCACACAAAAAGCCAACGCATTTTCATCACATATATACAATATAGATATATACATACTGTCACCCTCTGATTGGACGATAACAAAATACTCTATTCTTTTCCCTCCTTTCTTTTGTGAAGAAGACCCACCCCCTGTCTCGATACCCCACCCCCAAGAGGAAAAAAGGGATGATTGAAAAGACATATATATACAAGCACGACACACCAGCACTGAATAAAATAGGCCCCGATCAGCAGTACTTGTTGGCAGTTCTTTCCCATATTGTAACAAGGCTTTTTTTTTTTTCATCTTTTCATCTTTTTTTCCGCAATAATAATAATCTCTCTGGCAGGTACATGTCCAGCGGCATTTAAAACCTAAATCATCTTTTAGAAAAAAAAACAAATTTAACTCACACAAGCAAACACACACACACACACAGACAAAATGTAAAATTGTGATTGTGATCCAGTCATTGTCTTCACCTTTTTTTTTGCCACAACCGTTTTGCTCTATTGTTTTTGTCTTCCCTCGAGCTGATGTGCACAAATGGCAGCTCGCACATTCACGTGTCTTCACCTGGAAGAGCCGAACCTCACATGACCTTCCACCAACCCAGGACTCACAGGATGTTCACGGTTTATTTTAGCTACGTAGACTCCAAACAAGTACCCTGCTGTCTTCGGTTGCAGTCCTTTGGCCCACACTCACCTAAAAAAAAGTCATGATTTGGGTCAACTGATTTAAGGATCATGTCCGAACATTAGGTATGAAATTCTGGCAGTTGAACAAAACTTAAAAAAAAAAACTCAGTTGAGATCCACAGGCGAGGATTGACCACGTGAGGTGGAGAGAGCAGGAGTAAATGATTGGTAAGAAAAACGACAACAACATAAAAAAGATTAGCTGAAAATATAAAAATGAACGGCAGTATCAGTTGAAAGACGAGAATATGACTTCATCATGGTTCAACAGAGAGATCAACAGTGTAAAACCGGGCTGGTTCTGTGTTGAAACGTAAGGTTCTGTAATATCCAATAAAACAATCGTGTGAGAATGAAAAGTGTCTGTTCTCACAATAACAAAAGACATTATGCAATATCATTAAAAAAAATCCATGATTGTCATCCAGATATTAAAACCACAGTCACTACGAGAGTCCTGGTAGATGAATTGTCTTCAGATCAACGTTTTGGGGAAATAATCTCATTTGCCTTCTTTCTAACCCTCTCATGTCTGTACTGTAAATATGAAGCTACAGACTGATGATGGATAGCTTAGCTTAGCATTCACTTCCCAGACTTTGTGCTAAGCTCAGTGGATTTGTTGCAGATACACCTTGACTTTACGGAAGTCAAATTGGACTATTGTTCATGTTGCACAGATTTTATACTGTTCCCTTGGGTTATATTTATACACATACAAACTACAGCAAATTCATTGTATGTGCAAACCTACTTGGCATAAACCCTGATTCTGACATTTTAATACCTTTAAATAAGTTGTAGGACTTTTATTATGCCTGACCAAAATCATGTTTCAGAGATGGCTGACCTGAGAGGTGTGAAGGCCTCTGCAGGAATACTTTAGGGTTTGTGTTGGGCATAACTGATACACAATATCAAAACGTATAAAAAGGTGTAAACGTAACAACTTCACCGACACTAACCGCCTCCTTTCTGTAACATCATATTCAAAGATGTGAGTGGTGACAATCTTCTCCCGGGAAAGAATGAAAGCATTTAGTTACTTCTTTAAACAGGGACACACTGTCATAGATGCAAAGCACCACACACACACACACACACACACAGCTCAGCAGGTTCTCATCATCAAATGTAGACAATGCCCCATATTTGCCACTAGGGGTCAGATAGCCTCGCTGTGTGAGTGAATGAGGATGGGAGTGAATTGGTCACTAGAACCAGGAGGTGCTTTGCATCTTTAAAAACAGTTACGATCAACAAAAGGTAAGAGTGTGCAAAGGGCTTTTTGTTTTTGTTTTCTAACCTTGTGTCTCTGACGTTCAGCTCCGGGCTGATTGACGAGTCACTTGTTACAGGACACAGAGGAAAAGTTTCCAGAACCACTGATCTCCCTGTTCTGTGCTTGAGAAACCCTTTCTCATTAAAATCTCTAATCTAGTCTTTAAATCACTGTGTGCATCTGCTTTTGTGCTCATAGATAGTACAGAGATGATTGCATCATAGCCCTAACATTACAATTAAACCAAAACACACACACACACGCACGCATGCACACACACACACACACACACACACACTGCATGTACTGTATGAATCACATTTCTCATTCTGTTATGATTGTATGATAGCAAACTCAAATGAGTTTAAAAAAAAAGAGACTCAAATCCAGAATTCAAATTAGCACAGGAGGTAGCATCAAACTCTTTTTGATGCACATTATGTGACAAGTTTAACATCTGATCATTAATTCATCTTTTTTTTTTTTCACCAGCGCTTTTTTTAGTCTCAAACCTGATCTTATTCTGTGATTAGAATTATTAGAATTGGATTTGTTTACAAATGGAGGTTTTAAACTTTTTTTTGAGGAAATATGATTAATAGGTTTTTATTGGAAAATTAAGATGAGAAGATTCAGTGTATACAGAGCTACAGGCAGAGGATGGGCAGCTTAACATGGTTTAACAAAATCCACCAATCAATTTAGTCCGTCTTTCATTTTTGTAGAAGAATTATGATTATATTTGCTGAGTAGATTTTGAAATATTTTTAGTATTTTTGTGCTACATTTTATTTATTCATACTTATCGGCTGACATAAATGCCAATACTGATCGATCTGCGATAAACTGAGGCCGGATGAAAGTTGGACTCATTTTAATAGTTATTGGCTGATGCTGTCTTTTTTAGTGATCACTTAGCTTCTCGTGTAGAACTGATGATTTTAACCATTAAAACGGTTTCATGTTATGACAGCTTCTGATTGGTGGAGCAAATCTGAACGTGCACGATGCACACAGAGAAACTAAACATCTGGTTCCTCCCAGTTGAATGAAGTTTAAAAAAGACAAAATGTCGGACTTCCCTGGTATCACAACCGACTCACACTCACCACGTTCACTCATCTTGATGTGCTTGACACAGAGAACTTAAAAAATGTAATCCCATTACTTGTCTGCTGCAGTGAGCCTGATCACATTGGTTGGTTATGAGAATACTCTCTGCGATCTCTCTCTCTCTCTCAATATCTCTCTCCCTTGGTTTGTTTAATATCAAGCCTTAAACATTTAACACCCTGTACAAAACCTCAGTTATTGTAAACCTGACTTTCACCATCGATTCAGCCACAGTGGGGGCTTGCTCTCTCTCTCCCAAAAAGTGACCAACAAGCACCGTTTCTTCACTCAGAGACGGCCTGTGTTTCCTCAAAACAGATTGAAAAACAAAGCAAAACAAAAAAAATCTAAAAAAAGAGAGATAAACTCATCCAAGAGACAGCTGAGGCCAATGTCAACACGAGAAGAATTACAAGCTGAACACGTCGCTCAAATCACATAACAGTTACGGAGCAGGGGGTCAGTCGGGGGGGAGGGGTTCAGACTTTGGAAGGCTGCTGGCTGGGGATGGGGAGAGGGCTGGCCGAGGAGCTGAGGAGCATGTGGTTTAGACGTGAATGTGTTCTACTTGCCTCTAGACAAGTATGTAAGCAATCACATTGACATGTCCGACTATATATGATTGTCTTCAAAGTTTAACATTTTCTATGTATGTTTTGCTTTTGTAAAAATGTCAGGACTCTGAAGTCTGTCTTTCTCCAAAGCTTATCAAATGTTCTGCATCCCACCCACAACGGCCTATCTCCTCCTCCTCCTGCTGCGGCCTTTCAGCTCAGCCTGGCTTCTTCCTCCAGCCTCCTCCTCCTCTCCTTGCTCCCCATTCTTTGCAAAAAAAAGGAGGTCTAGGGGCTAGACAATGGAGTCCCAATCAAAGTCATCCTGGATGTCGTCGGCTGGCATGCGATGCATCTGGAAGTTTCTGGTAGGTATCATGTGCTGCTGGTTCATCTGTGCGTGGTGTCCTGGAGAAAGAAAAGCAGGAAAGAAGAGTTAAATCCACCCAGCTGCTCTTTTTGTCAGGGAAACTCAATGTGGTGGTGTTGTGTATATAAACGGATCCCATCGGGAAACAGAATGGCTGAAAGTGATCGTGTTTTTTCCATTGATGTAACTTTATGTCACCTGTCATCGTGGGTCCTGCGCTGCTCATGGGGGGCATGTGGGGGTATCCTGGAGGACCCATCATGGACATGCTCTGTCTGGAGTCCATGTAGAGATTTCCTGAGGAAAGAATCAGAACAAATTTAAAACCACACGAATAAGAGAACAAACACACAGATACACTTCAGATGATGCATTTGAAAGAGATTTGTTTTTTTGCAGGGGGACCGAGTGTACATTTCCAAGCACTGTGATTCTGCAGGTGAAAAGGATCCTGAAGAGTTTTAAACTATAAATTCAACCCACAGGTGAAAGTTGTAAGGTCAATCTGTCAGACAACTGGTTCGTGATTTCATTTTTTCAAAAGCTAGTAAAAAATAAAATAAAATGCATATTTCTGCTCCCAGGCAAAAAGATGAAGGAATACTGTAACAGACATATTGTTAAACATATATACTGTTGACATTGTACAATTACATGATCTCTTCCAGAGAAAACAAATCACAGGGAAAATAAGAATGAATAAAATAATTCAATATATATTATATAGATCATTAAAAGGTAAAGATCAAGCTACTGTGTCTATGTGATAATTTACAAATTACTTCAAAAACAATCTTTGTGGACATCAGCCAGTCATTTCAGAACCAAAACTGCCCTCATATAATCAAAGCTCTATTGATCAGTCCATTATCTGACTGAGGGTCACAGGATGGACGGCTGGCTGACAAACCTGTGTTGAGGTGCTGGCTGGGTTTGTTGGGGTGCATGGAGCCGAGGCAAACTGAGGGCTGCACTGCCCCCTGTGGCTGGATTACACCGGTGCGGGCAAAAAACTGATTGATGGACGAGCAGAGGTCTGCGATCTGGGTGGGTTCCAGGGACCAGTTGTTCAACTCGGCTTGTCTCATACTCTCTCTTAAACCTGAGGAGCATAAAACATAACAACGTACATTTTAAAATACAACTACCTGAGTTATTATCGTCAGAGCCAGTGACAGAATCAGTCTGCACTTAAATACCTTTGTGACAGTCAAATATATGCTGCACCTGATGACTGTCCCAAGAATATAAATTTAGCAAATGAGAAATTAATTTTCTAACATGAAGCAAAGACTTAGTTGCAATATATACTCATTATGTCAGTAACCTTCAGTGGGTGATATTTAAAAAACACCCTACCTTGCAATCCTAGACTGTAATTGGATAAACTGACCTGCTGAGCTCTGTGTTTTGGTAATTAAACTTGAAGGCTGTGTTATTTAATTGAAGAGCTCAGTTTAATTAAACTCATAATCAACTCCACAGTGTCAACACTTGAGGACTCAATCAAAAGCTCGGCCAGCGCTGTTCTATCAGCTCCTGGCTCCAAATGTTTGTTTCTTCTGATCATTGGAGAACACAGCAGACAAATCTGACACAGAAGATAAAATATCACCACCTCTCAAACATATGTTTATTTCATTAGTAACTGTTTAGTATTTGAAAATGCAGTGAGATCTGTTCATAGCATCCAAATCGCACCTTGGAAAGGTGAAAGGTCGACATCAGCCCAGTTGTAGCTGCTAGCAATACGGCAGCTTTCTTTCAGTGCATCCAGATTTGGATACCAGTCAGACAGTAAACCTGTAAAACACACACACACACAAACACACACACACTCAAAGTGTTACTTTTTTTAACATTACAATATATAAGATGTGAAGCACACAAATTATTTTTGTTCCAACAACTTCACTCCTGGGACAAATGCAGATTTAGTCCTAATTACATTATTAAAGGACAACTACACAATAAATGATTCTGTATTTGTTACTACTTATGGGTTAGGTGATGCATGCAGATGATGCATTTTCACTGTAGTCACATTTTCATAGCCGTGCAGCCAATCTTTTAGTGCCAAATGAGTAAGAAGGTAATGCCAAATATAATCAGGCTTTTAAACAGAGCAGTACTGCACTACAGCCACTAGGAGGAGTCAGTCGCCTCTGTATAAGCACTTAAGTCTCTGGATGCAACGTTGCTTTGTTCTCAGAAAAGCAAAGATAATCAACCAGAAGATGATTTACTGTTATGTACCTAAAACAATTTCTCAAAGCTTAATGGGTAAAGATAAGGCCTGACAGTCGTGAACACGTCGTGTTTGTTGTGATTAAAAAAAGGTGGAGACAACTAAACAATGATGGTGGTTCAAAGGGAAGACGATGACAGACAGAGGGTCTTACCTGTGTTGCAGGCCATCTGTTGCTGGGTAGGATGGGGCTGGTGGGAGAGGCTCTGATGCTGTTGCCCGTGTTGAGGAGGGTGCTGGCTGTGCTGCGTGTGTTGGGAGGGGTGCGGCGTGTGCTGCTGCGGGTGCTGGCCGTGGGACGGATGTTGCGATGGGTGCTGCCCGTGCTGGGAATGAGCAGCGTGCTGGGGGTGCTGGGAGTGCTGTTGGTGCTGACTGTGTTGGCTGTGCTGAGCGTGTTGGCTGTGTTGGTTGAGGGGGCCGCCGTGCTGCGGGAGGTGCGGCGCGTGGGGCGAGCCGTGGCCAGGGTGGGCTTGGGCAGGATGGGACAGGGGCACCTGGCCACTGTTGGCGGAGTGGCTGTTGGGGTGGTTGTTGGGTTGGTTGTTTGACAGGTTGTTCTGTGTACTTATGGTGCCACTGGGGGAGTGTTGATAAGAGCAGGAGGTGTGGGTCTGCTGGGATGAATCTGACTGTATTCCCATGAGACCTGGGAAACAAAAGCACACAAACACAAAGCTTAAGGAGTGCTGAAAGAAATTGTTGATTACAAAAAATGATGAATCCATCGCTGCAACTCCTGATTATTATCATATGGATTGAACAGCCTAAGGTGACGTCTTTAAACATCTTGTTCTGTGTAACCAAAACCTCCAAAATAATTATAAATGTAAGTTATAATTTTTACAGAGCTGTAAAACAAAGAAAGTCAGAAATATTTACACTGAAGAAGCCAGAACAAACAGCTTGACAAATAATTTACACAACTGATCAATCATCAAAATGGTTACCTAATTTTTTTTGACTTAACGTTTATCAAGCCCATGTGTCAACAGATTCTCAGGTTTTCTTCTTTTCTCTGATTCCATTTGTTGTAAATTGAATGTATGCGTGAAACTGTTTTTACAGAAAAAGCAATTTGCAGACGTCACCTTGGGCTCTGAGAATCACTGAATAAAACAATTGACAAATTAATTGAAGATGAAAATATGTTTCGTTGAAGCCCTGGTTTCTGAGAAGACTTTAAGTCAAATACAAATACCAGACTCACGGTTTGAATTAGTATCATGCACTTTCAACACAAACACAAAGAGAGCCAGGGTCTTCAAATGTTAAACACTTACTTAAGGTCATGTATCTTAACATCTTACAATGATGGAATGTGGTCCTCCTGTGTTTAAGTACTTCTACACTTGAGACAGACCAGCTGCCATTTTGTTGTATCAGGGAATGACTCAGCACCAGTTGTGACTCTGAGGTCCACGAGCCCGAGCTGCCGTCTCACACAGCTCTGGATCATCTTTGACAAATCCATAGTGCTGCTGCGTGGCTCTTTAACAGACATGACTGCAGCATGGACATCTGCACACCCCACTGCAATCATCTGAGTGGTGGGGAGTGGTCTTAAGAGGCTCTGTCCTTCACAGCTTTGGCACAGTAAACCTATTTCACTGGAGTGCTTTTAGAGCTGACTCCAGTCCCGCACCTCCACAATCGGCACGTAACACTCACTGCAGGGGTGACAAAGGTGCATCTCTTATCGGCACAGAAAGCCCATTGTCCAACCAGGGAAATACAGAAAGCAATTAACGCAACACCAGAATAATAATGCGAGCTCATTACCTATTATCAAAGCCAGTGAATTAGCTCACTGTCTACAGCGGCAGAGTGTGAAATCCTCTAGCTCGATTATTTACGCTTTTTAATTGCTAGAGCTTGTCTGACTAAGAGATTTCACTTTTATGCACATAAAAAAAGGTAACAACTTTCAACTCATGAAACATAGATGATAGATTAGAGGAGAGGAACTCTTTGAAAACATTAGCATGAGATGCATTTGGTTTGTGAAAGTAGGTTATACACAGAAAGCTCAGTCTACTTTGCTCATAACCCGCTTGTCAAGTGCTCTTTGTTTATCAGTCAATCAGATTACAAGAAAAAAAAAATGCATTTGGTTCTACAGGGATTCACAGGCTTTCAGAAAGCTGGGCTCTATCCACCACTATGTAGTATCTCATACAGGATCCCTATCATTATGACAAATTGAGCTCAAAGCCAACCGATTTACTCAGGACTTGGGCTGCTTGTAACCTCTTTCACCTCTCTAGTGAAACAACAGCCGACATGAGAAAATGTTTGACACATAAAAACACATAACAACATAAAAACGTTCACGTAATTTGATGATATAAAGCAACAAAGGCGGCATATTTATTTTAAATTAACAATACAACTGTTAAAACTCAAGCCTTGTTCATAACTGGCATTAACGCTCTGTGTGGAAGGGTGAATGTACCCGAGATGCTTTGAGGACACATTGAGATCCGATTGCTCAGATCACATGTAGAGGTGGTCTGGACTGCATGTGGCCACATTCTTTTAGCATTGTGTAAGTAAAAGTTTCCCAGTCTACATTAAAGAACCACCTACTCCACTGATGTCTTAATTTGCTCTCTTTGTCCGTGGTGGGTGGTGGGTAACCTCCAGCCTTGAGGCATGGAAGGCTGGCGAGACAATTAATAGATTAAAAATCTCATGATGGTGATCAAGTTTTCCAAATCTTGTTTGGTTGCCCAACAAGGATCTTTTATAGGGACAATGTTATCAGGCAAGTTTTGCTGTGAGATAATAGTCAAGAAGCTGAAAACTCACTCTGACGGAAAGTTTGTGAATGAGTCTTGTTGCAGCCGAGCAGTAAGAACCGGACAAATTCAAATAGTTCCAAAGTGTCAGTTTGTCTTAAAGGAACATCTCAGTGTGGATTACTGATTGGGCACACGATATGGAAAAAAACACTGAAGGACACAGCAAGATATTTGATCCTTTTCACTCTGGCCTGTGATGAAACAACAGCCATAACAAAGACCAGCCAATTAGTCGTTTTTGAACATGGGCTCACTACAGAGTTTGATACGTGTAAAGAAATACTATTTTTGCAAGGCATGCATGGAACTACAAAAAGTGAGGATGAGTTTGAGGAAGTTGTTATAGCTAAAACCAGCCGAGAGAGCCAAAAAAGCAGGTGAAGCCATCCCAACAGATGGCAGTTAATGTAAAGTAAATAAAATGTATTTCTAAAGCACTTTTGAAAGATACAAAAAAAAGTATGAGTTCCATAAGGGGTGTTCTAAAAAGTTGAAATGGCTCTTGATGGGAAAAGCATTTTTAGACACGTGGAGACGCATTCTGAGGCCAAATGACGTACAAAGACGTACAGGGCCTCAGACTCTGCTTCTGAATAAGAAATGCAGCCTTTTCCATGCTGCTCTGGCAAAAGACCATGAACATATTCAGTGTAGCTTTGCTCTATAGGCTACTCAGCATGTTAAAAATCTGTTCACTAAAGGTAATTAGTGGTTAAAGACTCTCAATAGCTCCAGCTGTTAACAACAAACCCACATTAGGAAAATTGTTCTGAGAATCATCCTGTTCTTGATAAGTGAAGCTTGGCCTCTCCATTAGGTTTCCACTTGATGCTCCTGTGAGGCCACTAACCTTGTTGGCTGAAGGACTGCTCAAAAACAGACTTGTAAAGGCTGCGGAAGGAGGCACTGAGATCTTCAAATTCAGAGAACAGGAGCTGCTTGTCCCTGTCTGGCATGTTGTACTGTGGGGGCTGCTGGAGGCTCAGAGACTGGGACACGGGCTCTGGGTGAGTGGTCACCTGGAGAGATGATAAAGAGCAATTTTAGAAAAGGGAGCAATACTGCATGCAGGAAAAAGAAGTTTACTGTTTAATTTGTAAAAGATTGTGTGAAAAAACGAAAACACTGGCTACATCTGCGCCAAAGACTATAGGGTCTACTGTGCTACAACACTGTGAAGTTCAAGCATAGACATTAATAATATACATACTTTTCAAAGATACTCGCTGTGCTTATCTGGTCATGGAACAGCAGAAACAGAAAACAGAAAACCTCAATAATATTTAATGAAAGTGGTGGTTTATGTGAACATACGTACATTGCAAACACACACACACAAATCAAATATGAGGATGGTCCAGTTCTTCTGAGGAGCTACTACAACAACATTTGTTTCTGTCTGAAAAGGTGTCAGTCACACAATATGTAAAGAACAATTACACAAACGGTAACAATCTAGGTCAGTGCTTACCACCTTGGCTCACACTACATCAAGAGAGCAACTGGAATGGACACGAAGCCAATACTCAAGTGGCTGAGCAAAATGTATTTAAATCAAAATCAATAGCAATACCTTGTACAAATAAGCAGCCATTTTATCCATGTATTTGTGTGGGCAGTCAATGTTATGCTCTGCCATTGGGTGTGAGACAGCAAGCAGTGTTCTCGCCAGAAATAAGTTCGTCTACAAGATTCATCACAGCAAGGGCAGTGATGCAAAACAAAGCAGTCCCTGACCCGCGTCCACTGTGGGCTTGCGTTACGAGAGAGGTCAGGCCCAATTTTTGATCATAACGTCTTCCTCTTTCAAGATTTGAGCAAGCCGCTCAAGTGCATGGCTTGCAGTCTGGCTTGGGCAAGAGCAAAGAGGTGATAATAAAGCTGGAGTGTTTACTGTGAGCTGCTGCTTTGGCTGTGAGAGAGAGAGAGAGAGAGAGAGAGAGAGAGAGAGAGAGAGAGCGAGCGAGCGAGCGCACATCTATCAGGCTGAGCCGATCGATGCCCAGTGCCTGGAGCAGGGAGCACTCTAGGATGCAGGAGGACCACACCAAAGAGGGGGCATCTCTGGTGGGAGGACATCAGAGGAAGCGCTTCTCTTTGTCTCGCTTCCAGGAACGTGCACATTTTCCTCTGTTTCCCTTAACTCCCTTCCTGATGTTGTACTCAAGTGCATGTCCACCCTGAACCTCGGTCTATTGCTGTCTACCGCTGGCTCCTCTGAAGAGAGCCTCCTGAGGCTTTCTGATCGGATGAAATATGTGATACACTACACTTTATAAGCCTGGCAGTATTTCATTCTCATTCAATTAGGGACCATGGCTCCCCCACAGCTTGAAAAATGCAGATAAAAAGAGAATTCGTCTTTCGGCCTTCACACTTTGTGCTCAAAAAACAACAGTTATACAACAATTATATAAATATCCTGTTATAGATATATCCCTCCAAGACAGTTACAAGCTGCAACATCTACATAAATCTGAATGTCACAATCCCACTCGCTTCTCCCTTTGAGGAACTGCAGGGGCATCGTGTATTGTCTATCCAAGATGCTGCACTGGAACCTTTGCAGCAGTGCATAGCTGGGATTGGTTATCTTAATACGTGCCAGACAGGACTTTCTCTGCGACACTGAATCTCTGTTTCGTGGTGTTCCCCAAGGTTCTGTCTTGAGGTTGAGTGCTATTTGCATTGTACTTGCTTCCTCTTGGGCAGATAATAGGTACCACTTCCATTGTTATGCAGATGATACTAAATTAAATGGATGACAATGTCTAAAGTTGATGGAAGGACCTGGCTCTCTAATCTCTTCTGTTAAAGTTATTTTCCATAATCTACGTGTTTCTTTTGGGCAAGGCTTTGAATCTTGACCAGCATGTAAAAAGTTCATTTTGCTCCTGATAAACACTGCTAAACTCAGGTCCACTGTGTCTGTAATTTAGATAGCTCTGATAATAATGCATTAACTTTGTCCAGTCTTAATTACTGTAATTCCCAATCACCTGCCTGAGTGAGTGAACTGCTTGCAACTGGTCAACAATGATGAGGCCAAGCTTATGACAAAGTCCTCAAAAACGTTTAATGTGACTCTAATCCTGATTTTACACTGACTTTCCATCAAATTCAGAATCCAGTTTAGTTCTTATAATAGTATAGAGCCTTGCATGGGCAGAAACGTTATATATAAATCTAACTACTTATTATACCATAAGAAAACTCAGGTCCTTGAGACCCTTTTGCATAAATTGACTTTTCTTTAATATCAATTTGTGCATGTCGGATTTGAGAGTAGGTTTTCTGAAGGTATATTCTGGATTAAATCCAGAATTTTGAACATCGGCAAAATGTCCATGTGCAGAAAAGTCTTTGGTCTTACCGGTGTATAGCTGTGCACACTGCCCACACTGTTGAGATTGACAGAGGCCAAACTCTGATCAGACAGGCTGTTGTTAAGGCTGCTTCTTGGACTGTCGCTCCCCTCCTGGTCTGTGTTGTACAATGCCACCTGAAACACACAAATGCATTAGCTTTTACTCTCATAGAAACACAAATACACGCACATTACTGTTCCCAGTGTCATCTCCAGTCATGCTGACGGTAGAGCATATCAGCATTCCTCAGAGAGAACAGGCATGAAAACACATGTTGGTCTATAGCTCTAATTTATAATAAAATTTAATTTAGTATGGAAATGTAAAGCTTGAGCAGGTGTGTATTTGTGTGTGTTGCTGACAAATCATAATAACAGAGCACTATCTTTCACTTTTTTATCAATGTGTGTGGGAGACACAGGGTGCTCTTGAACACCCGCCACAGTCACTAAGGGGTTCCAGCTGAACGTGTGAAGGGGTCTGGAGACAGCTGAGACATTCCCATCACTAAAGGTCACACTACTGGCGATGTCAGCCACATCTGCTCACCAAGCGCAAATCCGCTTGGGACAGCTAACAAAGGATTTCAGTGCAGCCGAGACACTGACCTTTCAATATAGCAGCGAAACTAGCCGAAGCACTTCAGGACGACAATCTTAATTACCGTCTAGCAAGGATTAGCCCTCCCACCCTTCCCAAATAAAGTGTGCCATCAGACAATTAAGATGATATTAAGAAGAACAATAGTGATAATTAATATAATGAAACCCAGAGAGAATAGCCCATGTGTTAAGTTTTTTATTGTGAGAAAGGAATGGCTGTAATGCACTGATGGAGTTGCAGTGAAAGAGAGGCTGGCATTATGAGACCGGTGTGTCTGTGTGAGTGTTTGTATGTGTGACTGAGTGCAGCATGGTGGCTTCTACTCATCACTGTGAGCAGAACAGAGTGGGCTCTATGCTCAGCACAATGAGACAGCAGTGGCAGCAGCCTCCAGGCAGGCAGAGTGCCCCGACCCTGCCCAGCTTGCTGCCTCTCAGCGGCAGCATCGGACTGAAGCCTCTTGTCCTTCTGTCGAGCAGCAAGCTACTAGGGGCCACAAGGAGGCGAGGAAACCCAGGCAGCCCCTCTTTGACTGATTGGCCTGCTGACTAACATGCTGGTTCGAATCCAGGGCGAACACAAGCAGAAAGAGAGCGTCCGATCATATTAAGCCTTTAATATGGAGCTTGGCTCCTGCACTGGGAGAATTAGAAAGAAATACCATGATTTACGAAAAAAAACAGAGAGTGCAAATGCTGACTCCAGCCAACGCTGTTCAAGGAAGAGGGGAGAGGCTGAAGGAGAGGAGGATAGGGGGGTAGTAAGAGAAGCTCATTAGGCAACTCTAGCCTTCTTCCACTCTGTATACGCTTGGCTCCAGTGTTCATTAGCGTGAAGGGGAACTCAATGAGCAGCTAAGACTGAAGGCTTAAGCACGTCTACAAAATCAGCCTTACAATGCTAATCAAAAACAGCGCACCACAGAAATATAAATGTTATGTGTAATGAAGTCATAAAACTGCCTTTTAGCCTTAAATCGCTCACCACAATCTATTTTTACTCTACTCACCCGTAAAGTGTGATGAACCTCAATGCTCTGTGGTTTAAGCAGACCCCACAGTCCCCTGAGTGAAGACGCCCACTCAAACACGCACCGTCACAGACGGACAAACGGTCGCAACTCATCCACATATGTAGAAGCATGCACAAACATATGACACACAAATACAGTTCTGAACACACATACAAAGGCAAGCATTGCCATACAGGCAGGAGCAACTCCACAGTAAATGCTATGTACAGTGTTAACTAGCAGGCGAGCGAGTCAGAGATCTATTCTTAGTAAAAAAGCCAGAGGTGTCTTTTACATGGGGGCCTAATCTAGAGCATGAGACAGGGATTATGAAATCAAAGCAAGATTGGCCCAGGTGTCTCCAACAATGCCAGCCAGCGTTGAGCACAATTCCTGCATGCAGGACCGAACTGGGGGATATGAGAGAGAGATGAAGAGGAGAAAAAGTCCTGACTACTCATCAGCAAACACACTTCCAACAATCCCCTCTTTCCCTTCATCATCACACTTCAGTGCCAGAGTTTCATCACATCCACATCAATGTTTAGGGGCCGCCTCAAAACACAATCTTTAGGGAGGAGAAGAGAAAAGTCTGAGTCTATGTGAGAAAGGCGCGAGAAAGAGAGGCGGTAGGGCAATCTTGCGAGGAATGTCCAACAGAAGAGAGACAGAGAGGAGATTCTTGCTGGTTCAGTAGTCGTCCCCACCAGGGTCTCCCATTGGTCTATATGAGAAGGCGGGAATGAGGGAGAGCGACTGGAATAGAAAGGGAGAGAGAGAAAAACAGAGAGAGGGAATTCCTGTGGCTTGGCACACTGCACCGAAAGAGGCGTGGCCAGCCGTGTGTTTACAGTGTAAGACAGTGAGAAACAAGCTCTCTCTGAGGAGATCTGTTGCTATTCCACTTTGTCTTCTGTTCACCGTAACAGTTTTTATCACAAACAAAAAAAAAGAACATCAAATTGTCCTGTCATTGGCCCGTTATCAAACAGGAGTCAGCTTTTAAGCTGTTTTAATGTTTGCCTGATGTTGCTCAAACAAGTTCTTTGACTGGAGGTTTTTACATTAGCTCTTTATATTATGCCTTGAGACTGGTGCTGTGCTGGCAAGTGCTTGTTGAAACAGTCAGAGAGGAAAAGGGTCATCTTCCTCTGCACTCAGGCCCATGAATCTGTTTGCTACAGAAACATGAAAAACTGCACATTCCCCATAGAAACAGCCCCTACCTGTCAGTGACACTCTCATCAAAACAAGCTGGGAGATTCTTTAGCATTCTCCACATACATGTACACACAAGTTTTAACACACAACTACATGCACTGAGACTTTTGAGGCCATGTCTCTCTCGCACATACACACACCAGCTCCTCTTTCCTATGAACACCCCTGTTCACATTAAACCATTTTTTTGTAATGCTTGCAGCAAATGAATAAGTGACTCTTGTAGGCTTTTTAAAAGTACTCCTGAGAGATGCCCCCACTGGGCCCAGAGGATGAGAGCTTAAGGTTAAAAAGCCTATTTAAATTTCAGAGTGAGAGGCATACTCAGAGCTAACAGCTAGCAGTCCCTGTAGCTTTGCTCTGTGTTGTGCAAGCTTTTACACATATTAGAAAAAAGAAAAAAACCCACTGAGAGCAGACAGAGGCAGCAGCAGGGGTGGTCACCTGTAGTGCGGCAGCGTAATGTGGTCACAGAAAGAGAAACACGACTCTAGGCGTCAACCTTCACTATAGGTGCCAATACAGACATCCCATGCAGAATGCGGAGTATCCCATTACATGTGTACACGGGGCTGTATAAGGTCTATCAGGTTGCAAAGCGCCAAGTATCAGTGTGAGCATCATATTTCCGTGCTGAAGATAACAAGAGCCTGCTGCCTGTTGTTGTGGAGGGAAAAAAGGTGCTGCAGTGCAGATAGTTGTGTATTTTGGTGTGGGTTGCATTGCAGGGAAGCTTTAGGAATAGGAGTGTGTGCTTGTGCGTGCATGAATCTCCCCTCCACTAGAGTGCTCCTCTCTCTGTGGGGAATAGTGCTGTAGGTGGTTGGAGAAGTGGGTGGGGTCAGGGTGCAGCCGTGTAGCCAGGTGTGTGTTGAAGCTGGAGGCTGGATGGCTGGCTCTAGTACCTTGTTAGTCACAGTGTTGATTGCCAGCGTTGGAGAGGCACTTCCAGAGATCATACACTCCATCCCCAAAGACTCAGACTCCAGGCTGTACGGCGTGGAAGCCTATGGGGGTAGGGGGTGGTAGACAGAAAAAAAAAAAGATTTAACATTATCCAATTATCAAACACACAAGATCCCACAGCAGGTTGTATGGTTAAGATGAGTATTATGTTTGTAACAAATTTTCTGCTTAGACGAGACACACAAAACTAAACCAGAACTGTTGTCATATGACAGAGCATCACCTTTATTTAGGTCACATTTGAACTGTGCTTTCTGAGGAGATGGAGGCAGACTCCATCCCCACCCTCACCTCGTACAACACACACATGCACACCCTCATCTGTATAGGCTCACTGTAGGGTGAGATAAGTCTGCCATGCCTGTCTCCCAATACTGCTTACTGTAAGAGGATTGGCTGCCAACAATACCATTTTTAATTCATGATAAACATAAATGAGATTTCACAAACTCTCAATTTCAGTGTGCGACTCTTAATGGAATGCCTTGTAGGCAGACAGTGTCTGGAGGGGGAAGGGTGAGCATGGCGCATGTGTCCTAAAGAAAACACACTCTTCACTCTGTGCGTTCTTTTCTGTCATGCTCAAATGAACAGAACTGCATCAGGAGAGCTTTGCTTAAATCTGCTGGCAGAGTCGCATATTACCCTGTATGTACCCCTATATTCCTTGTATATACACAATCTCACACCAGCAAACGGTGAATGGAAGTGATAGTATTCTGATGATGTAGGGTGACTACATGAAAATGTTATGTTGTCACTCTGCTTCTGTGGATGTATGAGTGTGTGTGTGTGTGTGTGTGTGTGTGTGT